TGGTGTGTTTTAATTAACATCATTATCATATAGGTTATATTAGAATCTGTTCGGTGTCATAAGGATATTTATGTGGTCAAAATAGTGTTCAATGTATATGTGGCCTGCTTAGAGACTACCGGTATGAGGCTATAAAGAGCAGTTATTTATTCTGTCTGAAGGAGTTGCACAGAGCTTCAGAGATGATGAAAGTATTGGTATATAGATGCCAAGTCTGAGCTGTGTATACATGACAATTGATAGGTTAACAAGTTGTGAATAACTATATATAAAACAGATTCCTCGGATATATATAGGTCTTCTTACACACGTATACCCATAATTATTGTGTTTCTAACCCACATTATGTCTTATCATCGCAGGACTAAATTGATTTTCCACAAATGTTCTATGGATAGTTGAATATAAATCTTGACCAGGTTTAAGAGAAGAAGTAGTTTTGGTTATCAAGACTATGTACATATTGTCTACATATTGTTTCATCCAGTAAATGTCAATGGTAATGCCCAACTAATTTCAGAGTGGTAAATGTTGAAACATCTTTGAAATCTTGACTACTGCTGTCCTAAGTTTCTACTAATAACTGTAGAAATTTTAAAAGGATCAGTGTACAATGTAGGCAGTAATATTGTTGTCAATGATTGTGACAATTGTTTGATTATCAAGAACATTACATTGCCGAGAATGCATATAAACAAATAGTTGATAATAATATAATGATACCAACTCACCTGAGGTGACCATTTGCGGTTGTCTTTTGTTGTGTGTCAGATATGCCACATGTTAGAATATTCAGAAAACATGTTTAGTTGTGTGTATTTGCAAACCATATCTAATAGTAGTATAGTGTCATTAGCATAAACAGGGGTCTGGACAAATATTTCAAACCACTAGGCACAGGACTGACTGGTGGGATGAAAAATTTACTCATCCAGATTGGAAATTTACTCGTCCAAATTCAGCTATGAAATGGCAACTTAATCAGTGAGGGTGTGACATGTGACTTGTTTTCTATTTTTATTTGAAGTTTTAGTGAAAAAACTATGCAGTGATGGCTGCTTTGCGTCCGACACTGTGCGCGACTTAGACCTAGTCGTAGTGTTTGTTTACATCCGACTGAATAGGTGCTGTTAAGAATGAGAGCACATGACATCAGTATAACCGCGGAAAAATGACTAAGGTATTGCAAATGTTGTATTTGAGGTCATGGGAGTTCCGGTGTAATCAAACGTTAGAGTGCAGACTGGAATATTTTGTTTTCGAAGTACGGTGAACACGTTTCTTTGTTTTAAATTTTCTTTACATTTTTATTGAAATTTGAGTTGTAACATTAATATCATTGGAAAAAAGTACTCGTCCGACGGACGACTGACAAAGATAAATCTGGTTGTCCGAGACAATTTTCACTCGTCCATTACGACCGAACGAGTGCTTTTCTGGACCCCTGATATATTTTAACATACAGCTTTAGATATAAATACAATTCTGCCTCAATCCGATGGCTTATATTAGACCTTTACAGTCATGTGATCTCATATAATCTTTAAATCTTAATTATTCAGAAAAAGTGAAAATAAAATCAGGGACACATCATCACCTTGAATGACCCCAGAACATCAAAATACTTTAGAGAATACTATTATGCTATTATATGTACTTTCGATAAAAAAAAAAAAAAAAGCACCCACTCATCCCATCCCCCACTACCATATGCAGAGGGATAATAGTCCTGCATATGAGGGACAGTTACCGCAAATGTTTAAAAGACCTTCCTGTGTTTCTATTTCAGTACTGTTTACTTAATGCAATAACTATTTCTCAATACAGGACTGTAACTCATATATAGGGTTGTGTCCAACCTGTTTAAGTTGCTATAAAATGTCTGGGGTATTGAGGTACAAGATGATAGTTTTAGAATGTCTAGGGTAATAAGGTACAGGATGATCGTTTTAATGACGAATGAGTTTGTTCAGTATGTTGCCATATTGATTACCTAAAGATAAAACCTTACATTCACTTCTATACTGGTTGGATGATTTGATCCATTGATATATCAATACCATCAGTCACTGAAATACAAGTTAAATAAGCATTTTATAGAAATATTTCACATCCTGTTCATGAAGTCAGCTTGATTTGACAATAAAGTATAAACAAGAGGAATTGTAAAACAATACCCGGACACGGGAGGAGTCATGGAGTCAAATCTTATTTTTTTTTACTTTCATAATGACATGATTTCTCTAATGATATTTCCATGTTATGAAGTCTCTGTATACAATAGTTTTACAGAAGTTTGTACATCTGACTGATCTGTTGACTGCTGGCTACTGCAAGGTTCAACACTCATTGTTGGAATTTTGTGAGACATTTTTTTAGGTAACTGACCCGAAGGGTCCGATGACCTATAGTCATCATGCTTCGTCCGTCGTCGTCCGCCGTGCGCCGTCCGTAAACTTTTCATTCATTCGACTTCTTCTCAATAATTGGAAGGCCCAGGCTACTAATATTTGGCCTGTAGCTTGCTTTGATGAAGCCCTACCAAGTTTGTTAAAAAGAATGACCTTGACCTTCATTCAAGGTCACAGGGGTCAAATGTCTTAAAATCTTCAAACGACTTCTTCTCAATAACTGGAGGGCCCAGGCAACTAATATTTAGCCTGTAGCTTGCTTTGATGAAACCCTACCAAGTTTGTTCAAATGAATGACCTTGACCTTCATTCAAGGTCACAGGGGTCAAATGTCTTTAAATCTTCAAAGGACTTCTCAGTAATCAAAAGGCCCAGGCAACTAAAATAAGGCCTGTAGCATGCTGGGATGAAGGACTACCAAGTTTGTTCAAATGAATGACCTTGACCCACTTTAAAGGTCACAGGGGTCAAATATGTTAAAATCTTTAAACAACTTCTTCTCAATAACCAAAAGGCTCAGATTGCTGATATTGTGCCTGTGGCATGCTGGGATGAAGGGCTATCAAGTTTGTTTAAATGAATGACCTTGAACAACTTTCAAGGTCACAGGGGTCAAATATGTCAAAATCTTTAAATAACTTCTTCTCAAATACTAGAAGGCCTAGGGGGCTAATACTTGGCCCATAGCATGCTGGCATGGAGCCATACAAAGTTTGTTCAAATGAATGACCTTGGCCCACTTTCAAGGTCACAGGGGTCAAATATGTTAAAATATACAAAGGACTTCATCTCAATAAGCAAAAGTCTATGAGTGCCGATATTGGGTCTGTAGCATGCTGGGAGGAAAGGCTACCAAGTTTATTTAAATGAATGACCTTGAACAACTTTCAAGGTCGCAGGGGTCAAATATGTCAAAATCTTTAAATAACTTCTTTTCAAATACTAGAAGGCCTAGGGGGCTAATACTTGGTCCATAGCATGCTGGCATGGAGCCCTACAAAATTTGTTCAAATGAATGACCTTGGCCCACTTTCAAGGTCACAGGGGTCAAATATGTTAAAATATACAAAGGACTTCATCTCAATAAGCAAAAGTCTATGATTGCCGATATTGGGTCTGTAGCATGCTGGGAGGAAAGGCTACCAAGTTTATTCAAATGAATGACCTCAACCCACTTTCAAGGTCACAGGGGTCAAATATGTTAAAATATACAAATGACTTCTTCTCAACAAGCAAAAGTCCATGAGTGCTGATATTGGGCCTGTAAGATGCTTGGAGGAGAGGCTACCAAGTTTGTTCAAATGAATGACCTCAACCCACTTTCTAGGTTTGGCTTGTTAGATCTAACCTCCGTTGTTAAAATAGATGATCTTGACCCATTTTCAAAGTCACAGGGGTCTTACGTCTTACCATCTTCTAAAAAACTTTTCTGAATAACCAGAAAGGCCAGCGTACTAATATTAGGCCTATAGTATGCCAAAACAACGGACTACCAAGTTTTTTAAAATGAATGACTTTGACCAACTTCCTAAGTCACACGGTGATATATGTACCAAACCATTAAAAAAATTCTCATTCACCAGAAGACCCAGGGTAATGATATTTGACCTGTAGGATGCTGGGATGATGGGCTACCAAGTTTGTTAAATCAAATTTTCTTGACCCCTTTCCAAGCTCCCATGGGTCAAATGTGTATAAAACCTACAGGAAACATCTTCTGAATAACCAGGAAGCTCAAGGTAATGATATTTAGCTTGTACCATGCTGAAATGAAGGTCTGCGAAGTTTGTTGAAATGCCTTGACCAACTTTTCAATGTGGTAACTAAGTGACTTGATTTTTAAATCAAGATTAAATTAATTCAAAATTTGAAATCTTGTATTTTATGTCGGATGACCGTAAAGGCCCATGGGGCCTCTTGTTCTTTATATCCGACGTTTCCTGTACTGACAGTCTATTAAGTAGATATTAAGTGACTTTATTATCTATAATCAATAATGATTGACTATTGATTTCAGTCTCACTCTCCAGATTGTTAAGAGGTGAAGCTCTCATTATGGTATGAAGTAATGAGATAAAAGTTTCTGATATAATTTTTGCTTATTGCTATCAAAATGTAAAAACAAATTATATATAGAACTGGTATTAGTAGACAACAGCATAGTATGTGTTTATGTTTAAATTATGTTTGTCCAGACCATAATTTTTCAGATGATTTACAAATCTGCTTTAAAGTAATATTGCTTGAATGGAACATGTATCAGTTGATAAAATAATTGCATTTATATGTAAACAATCTATAATCTGAAATTCAAAAGTCTTGGGGAGGGGGAAACAATAGTTTGAATAAAGTTGACCAGAATTGACTGAAGCAGTCTTCAATTATCGGTGCTAAAAAAAGTTATTCTTAGAAACTGTTATAATGAAAAATTGATGATGATGGGAAAGAGGAGAGACACTTATCGTGCCTTATTATTTTTATATTAGAAAATAGAAATAACATTTTTCAAAAAAAAAATTTTTTGCATAATTAGTTTTTAAACATTAATTCAACTATTGATTGTAGCGGAAAAAGAGATGTCATCATTGGGCACTGCACAGTCTGAAATGCCAGGTGTAATACCAGGCATGTTCAACTCTCACCTTCCGAGTCTGGGGCTGCTGCCTAGTACTCTCAATCAAGGAATGGGGGTATGTCTTTTTCCTTCCTTGGTTTTTTGCTTTTTTTTTTCGAGGACAGCATCAAACAGTGAAAAGTACATACCTTGAAAAAATGATTACTGAACTTCTTATGAAGAAAATAATTATTCTAGTCCAAATCATTAGCTTCTTCTGCACCCAACTGTTGATAAAACCACAATAATATTGAGCTAATGAAACAACACCCTTTACAGTAATCAGTAACATAAGTCTTTGTTATTTTTTGCAGTACAACAGTTTAGCATCAAGTGTAGCCATGCAGAGTACTTTGTATTCACCAACATCAGCTGCCCCGTCTGGAGCCACAGGGGGCCATGGCGTACATCACAGACTGAAGGGAGGTATATCTCACATTGAGGGTCCCTTGGGGGGAGCAAACATGTTGAGTAGTATGGCAAGCTCTGGCAGTCTACATGGAAGTAGTATAGGTGTAGTTCCTCACAGTAGCCAGCCTCGCGTGGATGAGGGCACACTGGAGATGATGTCACATGACATGAGCTTCAGTGCACTGTACTTACATGACCTTCAGTTTAAAAGGGTGCGGGGACAAAGTGGTGGAGAGAACCTGGATGATATTCGTGCCCGTGCCTTGTGGCAAAGACAGGACAGTAACCAGACAACAGCACTTGTACATATGCCTCACAAACAAGAGTCTGGTCAGGAAGAGAGACAAGATGAAGATTATCCATCTAATGCTGCTGAGGATAATGATCAGTCACTATCACACCAGTCTAGCCAAGCGAGGAGTAAAGATTATCACCCCCTGAAGTAGAATAAAAACAACATACTTCAAATGTATGCTTTTGGAACACATAGACACCAAAAAAATGAAATCTTAAGCACCAATACTATTCTCCTGTATATAAGTTATAATATATGATGTGTGTGTTTGTCGTGTATCAATGTGAGCAGTGAAGAGTCCAAAAGTAACATTAAAACAGTAATTACATTGTATTTTCATCATATTGATATTTCCATACCTTCCAAGTCATCACGATTTTGCTTGCAGGTTATTCATAACCTATACTAACAAACAAAGGAATTTAGATCCGATGGATTTCATAAATTTAACAGTTGGCAATTATTGTATGTATCCAGAAGTATGACATGCCTTGTAATAAGCCCACCCACCTCTATTGCAGTTTTGCTAGAAAGTCAACAAATGTTACTGCTATTATATCTTTGTTCTGTGATGAGACAGAGGCAATAAGTTACAGATTTATCATCTTTGTGTCTCTTCCGATTCTTAAGGATGGTATTACTGACGCATGTCACTGTTCTAGCATGTTGGGTTCTTGGGCTTTATACACACTGTGGTGGATACTGTTTGTCATTTCTACTGGTGTAGAATAAAAAGTGGTGTTCAGCTTCTAATTAGATTAATTACCAAGTGAATCATGTGAATGTTGTTTCCCAGCTACCACAGGTAGTGTTTTATGGTTACCTATTTACCATAGTACATGTGTGATGGTTGCCTAGCTACTACAGATATGTGTGATGGTTGCCTAGCTGCTACAGATATGTGTAATGGTTGCCTAGCTACTACAGATATGTGTAATGGTTGCCTAGCTACTACAGATATGTGTGATGGTTGCCTAGCTACTACAGATATGGGTGATGATTGCCTAGCTACCACAGAGATATGTTTAATGGTTACCTAGCTACCACAGAGATATGTGTTATGGTTACCTTGCTACCAAAGAGATATGTGTTACAATTACCTTGCTACCACAGAGATATGTGTTAGGGTTACCTAACTTCCACACAGATATGTGTTACGGTTACCTTGCTACCACAGAGATATGTGTTACAGTCACCTAGCTACCATAGAGATATGTGTTACGGTTACCTAACTTCCAAAGAGATATGTGTTACGGTTACCTAGCTACCACAGAGATATGTGTTACGGTTACCTAGCTACCACAGAGATATGTGTTACGGTTACCTTGCTACCTCAGAGATATGTGTAATGGTTGTCTAGCTACCATAGAGATATGTGTTACGGTTACCTAACTTCCACAGAGATATGTGTTACAGTCACCTAGCTTCCATAGAGATATGTGTTACGGTTACCTAACTTCCAAAAAGATATGTGTTACAGTTACCTAGCTACCACAGAGATATGTGTTACGGTTACCTAGCTACCACAGAGATATGTGTTACGGTTACCTTGCTACCTCAGAGATATGTGTAATGGTTGCCTAACTACCATAGAGATATGTGTAACGGTTACCTAACTTCCACAGAGACATGTGTTACGGTTACCTTGCTACCACAGAGATATTTGTAACGGTTACCTAGCTACCACAGAGATATGTGTTACGGTTACCTAGCTACCATAGAGATATGTGTTACGGTTACCTAGCTACCACAGAGATAGGTGTTACGGTTACCTAGCTACCGCAGAGATATGTGTTAGGGTTACCTTGCTACCACAGAGATATGTGTTACGGTTACCTAGCTACCACAGAGATATGTGTTACAGTTACCTAGCTACCACAGAGATATGTGTTACGGTTACCTAGCTACCACAGAGATATTTGTTACGGTTACCTAACTTCCACAGAGATATGTGTTACGGTTACCTAGCTACCAGAGATATGTGTTACGGTTACCTAACTTCCACAGAGATATGTGTTACGGTTACCTAACTTCCACAGAGATATGTGTTACGGTTACCTAGCTACCACAGAGATATGTGTTACGGTTACCTAGCTACCACAGAGATATGTGTTACGGTTACCTAGCTACCAGAGATATGTGTTACGGTTACCTAACTTCCACAGCAATATGTGTTACGGTTACCTAGCTACCACAGAGATATGTGTTACGGTTGCCTTGCTACCACAGAGATATGTGTTACACAGAGATATGTGTTACGGTTACCTTCCACAGAGATATGTGTTAACTTCCACAGAGATATGTGTTACGGTTACCTAGCTACCACAGAGATATGTGTTACGGTTACCTAGCTACCAGAGAGATATGTGTTACGGTTACCTAGCTACCAGAGATATGTGTTATGGTTACCTAACTTCCACAGAGATATGTGTTACGGTTACCTAGCTACCACAGAGATATGTGTTACGGTTACCTAGCTACCAGAGATATGTGTTACGGTTACCTAGCTACCATAGAGATATGTGTTACGGTTACCTAGCTACCAGAGAGATATGTGTTACGGTTACCTAGCTACCAGAGATATGTGTTACAGTTACCTAGCTACCAGAGATATGTGTTACGGTTACCTAGCTACCAGAGATATGTGTTACGGTTACCTAACTTCCACAGCAATATGTGTTACGGTTACCTAGCTACCACAGAGATATGTGTTACGGTTACCTAGCTACCAGAGATATGTGTTACGGTTACCTAGCTACCACAGAGATATGTGTTACGGTTACCTAGCTACCACAGAGATATGTGTTACGGTTACCTAGCTACCAGAGATATGTGTTACGGTTACCTAGCTACCAGAGATATGTGTTACGGTTACCTAACTTCCACAGCAATATGTGTTATGGTTACCTAGTTACCACAGATACACATGTTATGGTTACCTAGTTACCACAGATACACATGTTATGTTATGCTAGCTAACACAGGTACATGTGTTATGATTAACTAGCTACCCCAAGTACGTGTGTTATGGCTAACTAGTTATTACAGGTGCATGTTTTATAGTCACCTAGTTACTATGGTGACATGTGTTATGGTTGCCTAGTTACAACAGGTATATATGTTACAGTTACCTAGTTACCATAGGTACACGTTTTATGGTTACTTAGTTACCACAGGTATATATGTTCTTTGTTAACAGTGATAATAGGTCACAGACTTAGATATTTAAGGCCATGATAAGGTATATCTATGATTTCTTACTGACTGACATATTTTTTATTATAATACTGATCGTTATATGTGATGCCATATAGTATTCCACTGTGTATAGTACCAGAGAATTGTTATTTGTCTTTGCCTGCAGTAGATAACCTATCCAGCAGTTTTTTTTAAGGCTGTGTATGATATTGATATCTTACACACGTATCACATATATTCAATAACTGTTGATTGATAATTATATTTAGGTATTGGCAACAAGTGACCAAATGTTGTGACTGTTTTGTATATATGTTTGACTTCTTTGAGCTGTGTTGTCAATATTGTTCTACGTTGTGAAATAAATTAATGCAAATAATGAAATAAATTAATGCAATGAATTTTTAAAAAACTTTGTTAACTTCACATTTACAGTGTTAGAACTCAGAACAAGCTGGTTGTACAGATCTGTTACCTAACTTGGTGTAGTGTAAACCATCAGGCCCCAGTTTCATGAATCTTCCTTAACATAAGGAAATCCCCACTGCCATAGAGAAACACTCCGTAAGTTAAAGAAAAACATAAATTTAAGATTTCTTTAACTTATAAATATATAATGCTTTCCTATGGGCACTTTAAAGGTAAGCAAGGTTCGTGGAACTAGGTCCAGTTATTTGTGCGTACTGGGTTTGGTATGTTTGTTTTCTTGGTTAACAGCATAGTGAATAGCCAGGGTAATTTTTAGGTGAGGTTTCCTTGTAGTTTACCTTACTTAATGACATAGGGGAGGCCTATTAAATGCCATCTAGAACAATTATGGTAAAATGTCTTCCCAAAGGACACAACCATAACAGCATAGCCTGTTTCTGAGCTTCCTGAGAAACAAACCAGTACTTAATTTAAATTTATATATATATGATTATAACCATATGTATTAGGCAATAAACCCAAGTCTGTTACTAAGCCCATGTCTGGTATTAAGCCCATGTCTGGTATTCAGCCCATGCCTGGTATTAAGCCCATGTCTGGTATTAAGCCCACCTATTCCATCCATTACAGATTAGTAGAAATGCCCACAAAAAGAATACTGTTGTAGTAATACCATTCTCATACTTAGAGTGAAAGTTTATGTGTTAGCCCCCTGGGTGTACAACAAGATGAATACAGTCATAAGAATATCAGCTGTTTAACCTAGTAACTCTATCTATTTCAACAAGCTGGTAAAAATCATCCTAAAGTTTACAGTAAGTTTTGATAAGTCATGAATATAAATCATGAAAATCGCAGTTTATAATCATTATAGAATAGATAATACACTAAAACAGTGTGCTAGATGTTCAAGTAAAAGTATGTCTTCAGGGAATAACTCAGAAAAATGGTCTCTTTGTAGCCTTTTCTGTTCATCTTAGGTAGGTAGAGCTTCAAGAACAGACCAGGCCCATGGGTATGTTCTTTATTTGTGGACTAACCAGCATGTCAGCACTTTATATGTAACATGTTGGGCATATATCCAGACTGATGTTGGACCTGCAAAAATTAATGCAGTCTTCCACTGAAAGTCTTTAGGCCCAATCAGACAGCAAAAATTAATGCAGACATTTAAGGCTTAGCTCACAGCCCAATCATACACTAAAGAAAAGAACAGTAGGTTTGTTTTTATTTCATTAATGAATAACACTGGTCCAGTAAGGTTAAATTTATAAACAAAAATTGCCTGTGGCTTTCCCATTTGCCTGCCATCTTGGTTCTGTTTTCTTCTTTTAAATGTTGTTATGTGCTCTGAAAAATTTAGTAGTTTCAATGACAAATACATGTGATCTGCATGCACCTGTTATCATACAGTTGTAACAGGTCTATACCATGTTCTGAACTTTGTATATACCACATCCTGTATCCGGTCAATACTGTGTTCTGCATTTGGTCTATACCAGGTCCTGTATCTGGTCTTTACCATGTCTATATCTGGACTATACCTTGTCCTGAACTTAGTCTTTACCACATTCTGGATCCGGTCAATACTGTGTTCTGCATTTGGTCTATACCAGGTCCTGTATCTGGTCAATAACAGTGCTAAATGTTAATTGAAGGGAAATAGT